GTGTGTGTGTGTGTGTGTGTGTGTGTAGGGTGTGTGTATGCTTTATTTTAATTAGAACTGAAAACTTTTTTGCGTCAGCTTTAAGCCACAAAATGATGAATTTGTGAAACTGATGATTAAATCAATAACAAAACAATTTTAATGCGTATGACTTTTTAAAATTGTTATTATATCAAATTAATTGGGCTTCTGTACATCCTTTATACCACTAGCAATGCACAATGGTTAGACAATGGATAATTTAGATTTACCGTCTTGTTATTATCCTGAAAGGTAAACTCAAATACATGTAGCAGAASGTAGAAGAAAACAGGAAAGAAAACTTCTGAAAGGATAACTGCTGCTGTGGTGTTGTGCCACTCAAATCACTATTGCTTTTTTTTCATTTAATTATTGAATGAGAAACATTCTACTTTAAGTTTTAAATCATTAAAACTATTTTCAAATTCATAGCCATGCAAAATTGAAAAGTTTAAAAGCCCAAGGAACACTTTAGCATAAAATTATTTTTAAAATGTAGCTGGTTTATTTTATTAATGTCTAGTACTACATTTTGAACATTTTATAGCTTCTTAAATTATCACAGGCTCTGCTGCCATCTTGTGGTGAACATCAGAACATGCACGCTCACATCTGTCACTAATGCCCCAACCCTTTCTGTTAAGTCAAAATCAATTATTGTCTCAGACCTTTAACACTGATCAGGTTTTCTAAATCTTTAATATTCATCATCATTATGATAATCTTTCTGAATTTTTTCTTTGTGTGTTTAACTTTAAGTTCTCCTGCATAGAATAAAACTGTCTAATTGACGTAGGGGTCTCCACAACTATATATCACGTGAATTACACAGACCCTGTAAACTTTTACTAAATGTAACATCTAGAACAAAATGTGTATAAAGTAAATAAAAACACAGAAAACAGCATATAGTTGTGATTTTTGCTCAACCAAATTTCAATCTTTTAATTCCTTTCACCTTTTTATTAATGTATTGAGTTAAAGGTTTCCTCTCATTATGTTAATAAACTATGACTTTATATGAAAGATGCTTGCTGCTTGTTCATGATCAGTTGTTATATGATTGCTGAGACTTTAGATGGGTCAATGGGTTTAACAATAATTGATTTAATTGTTAAAACAGTTTGTTGTTCGAGTATAACAGCAGACTGGTTTGCTATACAAACTGCTGAGTGTATACCGAATGACAACAGTGTAACCCTGCCATTTTTTTCTTTTTTTTCCCCATGTATTTTACAAGCCATGTGGGCCACCCACTTTTAATCAGGCCCACCTGTAAAGTCATTTGTGGCAGGAAGAAAAAAAATTGTGTAGGTCTTCTGGACGGGTTCTTCTCTAATGAAACGTTTCGTCTCTCCTCCAAGAGACTTCTTCAGTCTGAGAGTTTCAGGCAAAATTCAGGCTTTTGTGATGTCACTATGTGACGATGTGATGTTTTGTCACATCACAAAAGCCTGAATTTTGCCTGAAACTCTCAGACTGAAGAAGTCTCTTGGAGGAGAGACGAAACGTTTCATTAGAGAAGAACCCGTCCAGAAGACCTACACAATTTTTTTTCTTCCTGCCACAAATGACTTTACAGG